TTAAAGCATTCGATCGCGCATTTAGGGACGCAGTTTTCGCGACGAGTCGATTTTTTCTTTTTCTCGCTCTCTTTCTCTCTTTCTCTTTCTCTCTTTCTCTGGCAGCGGAGAGGCGCGACATTCTATTTGTGTGTGCGAGCGCGCGATGTTAGCACGAGGAACGTTGCAATCGAACGCGATCCTTTTGCAACGCGTATTTCCACTCGTATGTATGAATACAGCGTGGATATTTCAGCATCATTTACCGATTACGTGACAGATGTCAGTGTGTGTGTGTGTGTGTATGTGAAAGTTTCTTTGCATGTGTTTCTTTCGCGTGAGTATTAAACAGTTATAACGTACATAATTGCGTATCGTGTATGTAAAATTTTGTGTTCAAAGTTTGTTATCTTTCATTTGTTTCCTTTTACAATATGACCTTAGTGCCAAACACGTTAAAATGTGTTCCATTCTGCGCTCATAACGTTCGCGAGCATCCGCGAATGATAAACAACGAGGATGAAACGATTCCAAAGAATTGATTCCAAAGAACGTTACGAGTGTCAAATGGAATGCAGTCTATTTCCATCAATGTAGATTAACTTTAATCTAGATTCAACTTAAGATACTTTCCATTTGGTAACTCAAGTTGACACAAACATCAATCTTTCTTCCTTGACATTCAGAGTGAGTAGCAAGGATAGAAAGACACTTGTGTTGATTTGTGTTATCAAATGGAAAGTATCTTCTCTTTTATCTTTTTCCAAGAATTAGAAAAAGATAAATTAATTAAAGTTAATCTACGTTGGTAAAAATGGGCATTGACAGTTTGTTTTTTATTCATAGATTGCGTTTAGGGAGATGCCACTATTTGTGTCATCCATTCTTGTTTCACGTTTAATAAATGATGAAGATAAAATCATATAAATAGTGCTGATAGCATCTCCCCGAACGCACTCCTACACTAAAATGCATTAAGTCACAGTGTTAAAAATCGGCCCGAGATTTCAAATAGAGAAAGAATTGATCAATAGCGTCGACAAATTTGTTTAAATATGATTTATTCATTCTTTCTTTGTCTGAGATTTTGAAGCGATTTCAAGTATCATGGATGCACAAGTCTTCAGAACTATCCTCGATTTCATCAAATTTCAAAAATATTTTGGTATTTTATTTTATAATATAGACTACTTTACTTTATAATATAGAAAATGTATACTAGTTTAGAAAATGTATAGAAAATGTGATATACTAGTTTCAGAGGTCTATTTTCCATAGATAATCAATGGCGTTTTTTCGTTATACAATCAGAAACAACTAAGACTCTTAATTTTCTGATCCTTGAAGATGAAGACAGCCTTAGCTATAGTTGCTTCTGGTTGGATGACAAAAAAATGCTCCAATACAGTTTTGGAACTTAATATGAAATAGATATATGATTGAAATTTGGTGAAACCAAAAAGGAAAATCTAATTGTAATGCAGTCTAACGTAGAAATAAAAAACGCACACCTAATGTCTGTTCTTTGCAGTTGAACTAATTGCATTTATGTACAATGAATTTTTTGCGATAAGAGACAAAGTGTAAGCTAAATCAGAAAGAGATTAAGATTGAGATTGGATTAGAACTTAACCAATCAGATGAAAGAAAACCAAACTCGAGTTTAATGAACTTTTGATTTGATTGGTTTAATTCCAATCTAATCTCAATCTCTAATCTGATTACAGCTTAATAGATTGCATTATTACTAATTGTTTACTAATGCTGAACAAAGATGAAATATTACATTGTCTCTTGATGAAAAGTATTAATTATTTGTACTTAAAATTAAATAGATATTATATTGGAAGTTTGGCGAAGGCAAAATGATTTAAGTACAGTCTAGTGCAATGACAAAGAACAGACTTATTATCTTTTTCAAACTTATTACCGTTCATAGTTGCGTACATTAAATCCATAAGTTATTTATTACTTAGTTATGCCATTAATTATAAGATTGCATTAATTTAATAATATTTAATACATAGGAAACTTATCCTTCAACGCCACCTGTCTGGTTTGCCGAATCCGAGGAGACTAGTGTTACGAATGCTGTACAAATTTTAAGCAACACAACAGGCCGTGACAACCATGTAATCAACCAAGTTGGTATCCTGTTGAAAGAGTTATGCAGACTACATTCTTTACCGGAACCACCAGATGTTGAAAGGCTGAGAACCGCTTTGGATCCTTTACGTTTAGGAGGATCGAATGAAGCTGTGGCGCAAAGGATGGATGCTGAAGACTTAGACGATATTGACGAAGATGAAGAGAGTGAGACTGAAGAAGACCTTCATCTGGATATGGACGAAGGAGACGCTAATTCTAAAAATAAAGTAAAGAGAAATGAATTAGTGATTGATTTATTTTAGTTATTGTCATCAATCTTTGTTATTAATATTTGTCATTAATCTTTAATAATACAGAGTGAAGAAATGGATTTGGAACATCTTGCGACATTGGAAAGGTTGAGACAGAATCAGAGACAAGATTATTTAAAAGGATCTGTTTGTGGAAGTGTACAAGCTACCGATAGACTCATGAAAGAATTGCGTGATATATACCGAAGTGACAGCTTTAAAAAGGGTATGTTATTGATAATGAGGCTTCCGCAGATATTTACTTTAAATATTTACATTAGATGATTTTTGCGGGTTATAGTTGTGTCGTGTTTTATTACTAATAGGTATGTTTCGTAAACCTTTATTAGAGCGAGGAACGCGCTCATACTGAACTGCTCTACCGAATTCCTTTTATAATCGTTGTTGAGGGAGAAGGGAGAATGAGAAAAGCGGCATCTCCTTAGCTTGTTAAGAGAACATATTTTACTTACGTTAAAACCTATAAGTCTGTTTTAAATTATTTGAATGTTTCTGTATTTCTCGAACTTCTCTGCATTTGTTCGAAAAATATAACGTAACTATAATAGTCGTTTTATAATTGGTGTCTTAATGTTGTATTTTGACAATGCTGATTGTGTGACATGTTTCAATCTGACATCCCGTTGATATTCCTTCAGGCGCACGTTGATCATTTCACTAATGTATACTTTCACAAGAGCAAGATATTTTATATATTTTAGCAATACTGAGTGGAGGTTTTTAATCTTTAGGATTTCTCTTTAGGTTTGCTCTGTCTTGAAGGCTCGAAAAATTTTTCGACGTTGACCATGATAAATTGTTTATTGGGATGTTGATTCTTAAGGCCGCAACACAGACTTTTGCATAATGCATAATGCATAAGCGAATTAACTAATCAGAATCTTTCTTTTCCTTTTTTATTTCATAAAAAAGAGGTATTTCGATTGGTTGATTTCCTTATACACACACACTATGCATTATGCGTTATGTAAGAGTCTGTGGTGGTCATTAAGGAAGTCTAAGAATTTGCGAAGTTCGTCATTGCCATGTCTCCAAATTACGAATGTATCGTCTACATAACGGAACTAAGTTTTTGATTTGATAGCTGTGACATCTTACGAAGGGTATCTTCTTTGAAATATTCCCAGAAGAATTTGCAATTACAGGAAAGATGGGAGAGACCATTGCTACGCTAGAAGTCTGTTTGCAAAATTGGTTGTAGGAGAAATATGCGATTGTTGATTAGTGTTCAACTAAAGGGATGATTGACTTTATGTGAGGTTTTAATTAGACCTGTATTTATAATCTGTTCTTCTTTCAAACCGTCTGAAATAATATTTTTAAGATGCTAATACGACTCTCGGTTGACATCTTAAGACTGTACTTAAGACAACCTTAAAAATAAGAATCAATTATGAATACTGGCCTTAGTTCCTTTCATTGAAACTTTTGTGAAAAGCGACTCTACATCGAAGCTTATCAATATATAATATTTTCAGGACGCACACGGATTTTTTTAGATTTCCGTATGAAATTCATCAAGTCGGTGAGCTAGGGAATATGAGGGATCGCATGTCGGGGATTTTATGACACTAACAATTGGTCTGAATATTGAGTTTATATACTTTTGGTAGACCATATAATCTTGGTGAAAAACATTTGTAGATTTTAATGTTGCTTTAGATCAGGGGGTAATCATGTAACTTTTTTCCTAACTCGGAAACGTAAAAAATGAAAATTGTTATGTATGTATATATGTATGTATATATGTACGTATATATGTACGTATGTACGTATACACATATCAAAAATTTTCACTTTTTACATTTCTGATATAAGAAAAATGTTACATAATTATTGATGAGCTTTGATGTGAAGTCATTTTTCACAAAAATTTGAATCAAAGAAACTCTAAATATAATTAAGGTCCCCAATAATATTATCCTTTTAATTGAGTACTGCTTAACAATCATATTCTTCCTACAGCGACCAATTTTACAGATTTTTGGGACAGCTACGGGCTCTCTCATCTTTCCTGTAATTGCAAATTCTTGAAACTTTCAAAGAAGATACCTTTGTAAGATGCCAGCTATCAAATAAAAAAATTGGTTCCGTTACGTTGACGATACATTCGTAATCTGAAGACATGGCAATGATAAATTTCATAAAGTCTTAGACCTTCTCAATAATCAACATCTCAATAACTGATTTATCACGGGCAGAGAAGAGAATAGAGGGCTTCCCTTCCTAGATATTTTTGTCACAAAGAAAGCTGACAATAGCTTAGACTATCAAATATGTAGCAACACACTAACAGATTATACCTACATACTGAATCATACTACGACCTAGCAAAAAACAAAAACAGTCAACAATCCACTTGTGCAATAAGTATCTGATAAAGAATACCTATAGACAAAACTTAACCATTTAAAATAAATCCTGCAACGAAACGGATGCAATAAAAGGGATCTGAACAGGAGAACCAGCAGATACAGGGCAAAGAACGGACAAACAATCACAGAATGAGTTAAATAAGAAAAGCTTTTTATTCTCTTATATTGTAAAAGAAACAACAGACCGAATCGACAGGATTTTAAACAAATGGCAATATCTGAATTTTTCAAGCCATCAAGGAAGACAGAATAAATCTATATATATAAAGAGAAATCATAAAGATTAAAAACCTTCACTCCGTTCCGCAAAAATATATATAATATACCTTGCTCTTGCGGGAAAGTATAAATTGGTGAACCGATCAACGTGCGCATGAAGGAATATAAACGGGATGTCAGATTGAAACATGTCATATAATTAGCATTGTTAAAACACAATATTGAGACAGCAAATACTATTTGATAAAACAACTATAATTACAATGACATCGTATTTTTCGAATAAGTATAGGGAGAAGTTTTAAAGAAATACAGAAACATCCGGATAATTTAAACAGAGATATACAAGGTTATAATATAAGTAAAATATGAAATCATTCGGATAATTTACATAGACATATACAGTTTATAACGTAAATAAAATATAACCTTTTGATGTACTAATAGAGATGTCAAAAAGACATCTCTTAACAAACTGGCCTCTTAAAAAAAAGTGGCCTTTTCTCATTCCCGCTTTACACTTTAATAGCGTTTATATAAAGGAAATTCTTTGGTGGTGCAGTTCAATATTGCTCAGTATCAGTGCATTGCTCGACCTGATGAAGTGGACAGTAAGATTTACGAAATAATGGATAACGACACGGCGGTAACCCTCTGCATCTTTGAAGAGTATGTTATTTTGAAAGTTTTGAGATTATAATTAAGTTTTTATAATTGTACATGCATTTTATATGTATATAGTGTTTTTAAATTTGATAAGTTTTTGAAGTAAATTCTTTACATACAATAAACAAGAAAATCATGCGAACTTAGATTTAAAAATGTGTAGGATGAAAGTTAAAAGATTAGATAAAAATTATTGAAAGATATTTTACAACTTTATTCATCTGACGAAAATTGTATTCAACTGACGATATTTGACTAGTATTAAGTCACAGTTTGCCAGAATTATTCGAGATGTTCTCTATTATTTGATTGACTGTGGACAATTTTAAATCCCTTGTATATTTCAATTTTAATTGAAAATGGAAACATAACCTTCATTAATGTATTTTTGATACTTGTGAAACTATTTATATTTTGTGAACTATGACTTGATATTAATCGTCAGTTCAAAATTTTGTTGTTGAATTTTTTAATAACAGTATTGCAATAACAGTATCCAATCATTTAAATTATTTTTTAGCTTTTTTTTAACAAATCACGTCGAAAACAGATTACAATAATCACATAAAATAAGACTCAAAAGAATCGATCAGTGAAAAATGTAAAAAAGCCCGTCAGCTACATCAGCTGTTCAGATGCACAGAAATTTCTTTATTTTTGTGTGAATGTAACAGAATGAGTAAAATATACGTTTCGATTCTTCAATTCCTTATCAATATAAAATATAAATCGAAATTACATAAATAATGTAAATTCCAAGTTGATGATTCCCGACAATTTAGTTCGTCCTTTTTTATCCAAATGTCAAATTAGCTATGTAATGAATAGCCCAATGATTATCAAAAATAATATAAAAACTTACATAAAATAAAACCGAAGTTATATACATTGCGTCACTCAGTAGAATCACATCGCTCATCAGATTATCAGATTTGCTGTGTAATTATTCAAAAGAAACACGAAAAATTAGAGAATTATTAAAATTATTCGTCTATTTTAATTATATCAACTTAAATGTAAGCGTTTTCTCGCAACTCGATGTAAAGGTCTTGTGGTGTCGACAGTTAGAGATACAATGAGAATCAAAATAATAAAGTCATGTAGTTATTGAAACCAAAATAAAAATAAAAACATGAGAGGGTAAAATCAACGTCACAATACCACAAACAAATTCATATATAGTTCTAAAAAATACATATCATTCTGTAAATTCAAACTCTGTTGTCTGGTGAACCCATTGGAACACCAAAAGTCTGTTTATAAAATTTGGTGTTGAAACTAAAAATTGAATTAAGTACTAATTCCAACGCTTTAAAAAATTCCATTTTGGGAATGTTCGTTTTTCTTTCAATGAAATACCATCTCCTCTCTATGCCTTCAAAAATCAAGGTCAATAGATACATTTATGAATAACGAAGCCACATTAAGGGATAAAAGAACTTCGTTGTCAGGGATTGTCAAATTAGAAATGTGTTTAGTCAAATGAAAACTGTTCTTGATAAAACTGTTTGCTACTGCTACTGTCGAGAGAATTTCGAATTAATAATTAAAATTCTTTTAAACAATGGATATCTGAACCTATATTCTCTGTAGTCAAAAATAGGTTGTCAAAGAAATTTGAACAATGACCAGGGTAACACACCTACGGATAAGACAACGGACAATAATGAAGATAAAATTAATCACGTTTTCTACAATCCCCTTTATATCAGTTTTATCAGAAAAAATAAAAAAATATTTTTAAAAAGGCTCCTTAATATACATGGCATATAAAGGGATTAATAATCTTAGAGGGTTCGTCAGGTCACACACATAAAGACGTTCGTCCCAAGCTATCTTACACAGACATTGTATATAAAATTGATTGTCGAGATTGTGAAGCATCATATATGGACCAAACAGGTAGATGTTTGAACACACGCATAAATGAACATAAAAATCACATAAATTGGAACACTACACAGCATTCCATAAGAACACAGAATTAGTCTTTAACATGAGTTTGATTGGGAAAATGTCAAAATATTGGACGAGGAAAAGGTAATAAAAAGATTGATAAAAGATAAATAAAAGACTTAATAAAAGACTGATTTCGGAAGCGATCTGTATAAAGCAATAGAAACAGAGTTTAAATTTACAGAATAATACATATTCTTTAGACTCACTATACATGAATTTGTTTGTGGAATTGTGACGTTGATTTTGCTCTCTCCTGTTTCTTATTTTTATTTTAATTTCAATAACTACATGACTTTACTATTTTGATTCTCATTGTATCTCTGACTATCGACACCACAAGACCTTTACGTCGAGTTGCGAGAAAACGCTTACATGTAAGTTGATATAATTAAAATAGACGAATTATTTTAATAATTCTCTAATTTTTCGTGTTCGTGTTTTTTTTTGAATGACTACACAGCAAATCTGACAACCTGATGAGCGATGTGATTCTACTGAGTGACGCAATGTATATAACTTCGGTTTTATTTAATGTAAGTTTTTATATTATTTTTGATAATCATTGGGCTATTCATTACATAGCTAATTTGGCATTTGGATAAAGAAGGACGAACTAAATTGTCGGGGATCATCAACTTGGAATTTGCGTTATTTATGTAATTTCGATTTATATTTTATATTGATAAAGACCCGAATTGAAGGGTCGAAATATATTTTATAGTATATTTTACTCGTTTTGTTACATTCACATGAAAATAAAGAATTTTCTGTGCATTTGAACAGCTGTAGGCTCTGATGGGTTTTTTTACATTTTTCACTTACAATAATCACCATTAAAAAAATTTTGTTTCACGTGTAGTTGCTCAGATGAGGAAAATAGGTTTCTTCTCTGCCCTCTCTTTGCATAACATAGAGTACAAAGACATTCAACCAACCTCTTATATTAATTCTTTTTTCCATCAATTCTTCAAATACGACATTTTTTATTAATAATTATGGTTTTTTTTTAAATCCGTTTAGCCTTTTAATCACCGAAAACTTTTAACTTACATATGTAGGGCGCGAGTGGGATTGAATCCGGAATTACAAATCTTAAGTCGACGATACAAAGCGTGTAGCTATTTGATATTCCTCATTTTTCTTAAGCTGAAATAGTTAGTAAAATAAGTGTCTATTCATATTTTCGTTGTCTCATCTGAACAGTTAACATTTGCTCACTGTTGTTAAATACTGATCCATCAAATTTGTCGCCTTTAAGTTTCAAATAGATGTGAAACTAAAAGGCAACATGACTTTCAAAAACTATAATTATTTTTCACATATTCAAAGAATATGTTTTTGTTTTTTTTTTTGCATTTTAAAAAATTTATCCTTTTTTATTGTCTAATGTGTTGTCAAAAGAATTTTGAAATATTCTGTATACATTTGATATTTTTTTTCCAGGAATGTATAGCATAGAACTAGTAAATGACAGTTTGTATGAATGGAATATCAGATTGATGTGTGTAGATCCTGATTCACCACTTCATAGCGATCTCATTCTTTTGAAAGAGAAAGAAGGCAAAGACAGTATTCTTCTCAATATGCTTTTCAAGGTAATAAGGCTAAACTTAAGACTTAAGCTTCGAATAGTAATAATAGGAATAGTATTATGACAATATATAGTATATATAGACAAAGATGTAGTCCCATTTACTGCTACTATATCATCTAGGTCTAGAGAATTCTTCTATAACTCCTGACAAATTAGTTCCAGCTCAATGTTGTGTATTGAGTCTTATAAGACTGCTCAATCTTTCTCTCCTTCAGATCTTAAGCTTAATCCTAGGATATGTGCATTCCTTTATATCTTTAGGCTTAGTATAGTACTAGAATCTGTATCTTTTTAATCGTGCTTTTTTGATCAATCTCTTTTAAAATGTATTTACAGAGTGATTCAAAATAACCTTTTATCCTTAAAGGGACATATTCTTGGCCGTATTCTGAGACGATTTTTCATTTACGAAAATTTTGTTCGAAGCTTAGTTTTCAAATTATAAGAAGAAATAGTTAGTTACCCCTTAACTAAATGGGGTACGAGGGTCACAAATGGAGGGATCTGGCTCAGGGACGGGAACAGTGGCGGGATTTGGTATTTGCGGCAATGAGCTTTCGAGTTCCTAACGCCTAATAATAATAATAATAATAATAATAATAATAATAAGAAATAGTTAGCGTATCACGGGTCGCGTATAGGAGACGGGCAGGAGCGGTGCTCACGGTTAGACGCGGATGCTTTACGCACGGGGCGCACATTGACCGGATGCATTCACACGTTTATAAAAACACGTTCCTTCTTTCCCCTTCTTCTATCTTTCCCCTGTACCACACTATCTTTTTGTCTTTCATGTACTTTAAATGTGCTAATTTCATTAAATTATAAATTAGAATGATGAAATTAAAATGGATATTGAATCCTTTGAGTATTGGATTGCATTTTAATTACATTGATAAAATTGTTAGAGAAATGTCGTAAAAGAACAAACTTAGACAATAATTACGTGCGATAAGTATTATAAAACTATTGACATACAAATCGTACAATTATTACAATATGTATTTCGAATTCTAAGAGCGTTTCATACAATTCAACGTGTTGAAATACTTGATTAGACTTAATTGTATGTCAATAGGCATTATAATACTTGTGGCACGCAATTATTGTCTAATTTTTCAATTTTACAAAAATTTCTCTAACAATTTTATCTGCGATATCGCGCTCGTAGTATTTATTACAGACTTATGAGAAATTTTATGAGAAATTGCGATCGTGCTTTTTAGCATTCAAAGAGTTATGAATGTTTAAAACAAAAATGTAAGCCAAATACACTTTAAAAGCTTATTATTATCTTAATTATAAAATTGTTGTTACTTTGTAGATATTAATGATTCCATTTTGCTCTAGCTTCTTGAAATAATTAGAGGAATAAGTTTGGATGCACCGTAATAATGCTCAACATAACTGTTTACTGTAATTCACTGTTTACTTCCATCACTCAAATATTAAATGTCTTTTAAGTACGTAGATATCTAGTCACACGTTTCCACGATGAGATTCTTCTTTTATAAATTATGTCACGTTTTAGCATATTGACACAATTCGATTACATTCACTTGACAACACGAGGAATTTATTGACCGGTTAATCATTTAATCAGTAACAATCACAAATGATTGATTATTCCGCGATTGAAAATCACACGAAGCTATAAATAAAACACGTGTCCGCACACAACATGTGTTAATCACGCATCACTGAGGCGCTGATCTGCACTCATATTCATTGCAGTCATAATCAAGAAAGCTGCTTGCTGCACATAACACATGTGCGCCCCGTGCGTAAAGCATCCGCGTTTAACCGTGAGCACCGCTCCTGTTCGTCTCCTATACGCGACCAGTGATACGCTAACTATTTCTTCTTGTAATTTAAAAACTAAGCTTCGAACAAAATTTTGTAAAGGAAAAATCATCTCAGAATACCAAGAATATGTCCCTTTAAAGACAAAAGGTTATTTTGAATCACCCTGTATAGGGGTGACGGTCAGAATAAAATCTGGGATTATGAGTTGATCATTTTCATAAGGAGTCAGACGTCACCGCATTAAGCTTTGAATAACATATATATATATATATTAATTTACGTTTTTTTCTAAACTTTTTTTGTAGATATTTTATTCCTAATTTTTATCGTAGGAAACTTATCCGTTTGAACCTCCATTTGTAAGAGTCGTACATCCTATCATATCTGGTGGATATGTTCTTGTGGGAGGTGCCATTTGCATGGAACTTCTTACAAAACAAGGGTGGAGTTCGGCGTATACAGTAGAAGCTGTTATAATGCAGATTTCAGCGACGTTAGTGAAAGGGAAAGCGCGTATACAGTTCCAAGGATCAGGCGGCGCTGGCAAAGTATGTGGCGGACAAGGCCAATATAGTTTGGCACGTGCCCAACAGTCATTCAAGTCTCTTGTACAAATACACGAAAAGAATGGTGAGAATTTACTTTCTTATGCGCTGTTATTAACATTGCTTAAAAACGTGTTTTTTTTTTTAATAGGTTGGTTCACACCTCCAAAGGAGGATGGCTAATGAACACCAACTGCGGAAAAGTACCGAAAATATGATACATGCTTACAGCTGAGACTTTAATTCGGTGTGTGCCCAACAAGTAATTGTTATGATAATGATTTGATACACAAACACAACAGTAACTAGGTAACTTAAGATACTGAATTAATCTAACATATAATTCCTTTGATGGCTAAAAAAGCTGCCGTACACCTTGGTTATATATCCATATTTTTTTCGGTCATTAGTAGTTAGATCGCGAATTATATCGATAAATGTAAGGTATCATTTCGCTTGAAATTGATTCTTATGTTTTAAGAATCGCATTGTTACAGTATCGTAATTTTATGTACTCACTTCCCCTTAAAGATACATATGTTGTACGTGCGAAACAATATAATTATTCTGAAAAATTTTCGTTTTCTGAATAATGCGATCGTGCTTCCTGTCTCTTTAACGGGAAGAGATTATGATTGAATGTTTTATATAAATAATGCTGGACAAATTTTTAAGTTTTTCTTTTATTTATGTTTTACTATTGTGTCTTTTCTTCTATTTTTTCTAAAGCAACTGTTATGCTCGATGCATTTCAATGACGAGGCTGTATTTCGTTGCTAATATATGCCGTAAACAAGTAAAAACAGTGGTAGTAAAAATGCATCTCTTGAAGAACAATGTACATCACTTCTATTCTTGAAATCTTTTGTCAAATATCTCTTGATATTCAAAAATTATGTGAGCGTACAACCAAAACATCTTTCTTTTTTCCAAAACTATGTAGAAATAAAATGGCTAAATAAAATATAAAAGTATAACTTTTACATCGGGAGGCTCTAGAGAGTACGATTATAGAAATTACAAAAGTCTTTGCAGGCTTTTAAGACTTGCAATTAATTATATGTTTTGTAAAACTAATTTTGTCTATATCAATAATCAAGTCAAGATTTTTGACACGAGAAGCGATATTTTTTTACATTCGGCGAATAGTATATTTCGTAACATTATTGGATTAGATGAAAAGTAGATTTTACAATGCTTGTATCAGTTGCTTTCTATTTACACTAAAATTTAGATAGTTCTCATTTGTGAGAACAACACGTCTTAACTCAGTTGAATGTACGCTCCTTTTCATTGTGACAAGCGAGATTCAACTGAGTTTTTACCTACAATCTCGAGAACGTATACTTTGTTGACTGGGTCTTGTTAACTCACATTAAAAATAAAGTAGACCTATGTTATGAAATAACTTTGTCATCAAAGTAAGCAAGTAGTGATGTCATTTTTATAATCACATCACTTTTGACTCACTTATGTGAAAATGGAAAGCAATTATTGCACAATACAGTAATTAATGTGGATGTGTATCTTTTTGGATAGAACATAAGAATGACATAAATGCGAATATATAGATGCTGTAGCAGCATATGTTTTCTTTCTTAAACATTACAAAAATTTATGTTGATCTTTTCTTTTGTAATATTATCTAGATGGCTTATAGCTTTCTATAATATTATATAAATAAATA